GCTTATGCTAATATAAAGACATGTTGTGTGAATGAACACACTTGTGAGTCACATTTATTTTGCTATTACTGTTATTTTTTTTTTCTTAATTTTTATTGCATTTCCTGCTATGGAAGATGAAGCCCAAGGAACTGAAATGAGGAAAGGTTATACATATTTTATTAGAAGGTGGAAAAAAGAAAAACTCCTACAGCTATCCATTAAAGAACATGGTGCATATTTCCCTCCTTAATTAATATTTTGTGTGGGAATTTGTCTATTATCCTTTTCTACTACTAATCCATGTGGGGACAAATGATAGTGCAAATAACAACTCTAACGACCTTACTACAGACTTTAAAGCCCTAGGAAAGAAACTCAAGAACCTAGAGGTTCAGGTAGTCTTCTCCTCCATCCTTTCCGGCTCTGGAAATGGACTAGAAAGGGGTGATGGCTGGCTTGATATGGATGATTGACTTCATATACTATATCACTGGGATGGAGAAAGTAGGTTTCAGGAACCATGGCTTGAGCTATGGTATGAACTGCTGGCATGAGATGTTGCACTTTCTAAAGACTGGTAAAATGTATTTAGCAAAAGCATGGGGAACTAGATCAGGAGGGCATTAAATTGAATTTTTTTGGTGTTGGAAATGAAACCTATGAAATAAGAATTTGGTTAAAGTTTGCTACACTACAGAAGAAAGTGGAGGCATTTCTGTTAAACCATTCAATGGCCTTTTAAACCACTCAATGGATATTGGGAAGAACATTGATTTATGAAATTAACTGCATGTATTGTATGTGCACTATTGTTGAGCCTATGAGAAATAAACAAGATGAGCTTGAACTGTTAGTACAGGAAAGCAAATAGGTATTAAAGGGACCCTCTAAACTGACATATATCATATCATATCATATCATATCAATGACTATAGTAACTGAAACTTACAATTTGATCAAAAGGAACGGAAATAGAAGGGAAGAGTAGTTGCTCCTCACACTACTCAGAACTCCAAATGACTGACTTTAGCAATATTGTAGACAAGAATAATGAATAAAAGCAATACTGTTTGTTTATTGCCAATCAAGGAGATATTATAGATCATGCTTTTCAAAAGCAAACTGCAGACCTTTCCAAGGACACCAAGTGGGAGAAATGGGGAATTTTAATTAGCTCAACATCTGTTGGGAATTCAACTTTGCCAAACATGGTACTTCCAAGAAAGTTCTGTGTTGTCTTACTCACAACTTTCTCTTTTAGAGTGTTACTACATTTGAGGGAACAATGAGCTAAGGAATTTTAAGCATAAGCTGGGCACACATCTATGCAAATAAGAGTGAAAAAGAAGGAAAAGAAACAAAAGGGGGCAGAGCTAATGTTTTAATTCCAATTTACAATTTATTGAGGAATGGGCAGATAATGGCAGAGAAAGGGAACCAACTTATTCAATTAATATCCAGTTGGCAGTCAAATATTTAGCAACATTTCAATAACATTTAAGCATGGAGTTAGGATTCAAAATAGAAGGCTTAAAGTATAGATTAAGAAAAGACAGATGTCAGGTTTACTAGCAAAGATGAGGTCACTGAACCAGTCAAGCAAGAGGTTTTCTATACTTTCAGATAACAGGGTACTTTTGGTTGTAGGATTATAGATGGTTTCTTGGTACCATCTGAAAGTGACACCATTTCTAGATTCAAAATTATGGAGAGTTTTTTTCTGGAAAAAAAATTGATCAAGCCTTTCTCAGTCTGCTACCCATTTTGATTACAAGATTTCTGCAATCTTCTTTTAATGCTCTATTGCAGAAAGGAAGGTTAATAGCTGCTGGTTTCTATGTTGCTTGAACAGTTTTACATGGACTATGAGGCTAGTAATTCTGTTTTTATGTTCCATATGAGTTGGAATATTTAAGTACTTAGTAGCACACTCTAGGAAGATAAACTATGTACTTTCTCCCCACTGAAAGAATAGGCTTTCCTTATAAATAGGAAAAATCTTCCTGTGGCAGTCTTGACTTTTCTAATACACGGGAACATTCAAATGAAACATTCACTATACAAAACCACTAAATCATGTTAGCTTTTCCTTATCAAAAAGTTAAAAGTAGTAGTAGTAATAATAGTAATGGCAATAATAATAATAATAATAATAATACCACCACCACCACCACCACCATCACCTTAAATATGGCAGTGACTGATTTTGGACAGGCTGCTTCCTATTTTCCTTTGGAATAGCAGATCGGTATGTTGTAATAGAATATGTCTTTGTTTCTTATCAAATGCATGTCGATTTCATTTTAAATTCCCTTGTGGAGAAACTGCACATGGACGTACATTGAACAAGAAAGAAAATGACAGTCTTCTGATGACCACAAAAGATTGTATGTTAACTTGGCCGATGGCTTGTGAGCATTCAGTGCCAATCCCTATTTCTTTCATTAGCTAAAAGCTT